AAAAAAGAAGAAAAAAAAAGAAAAAAAGAAAGAAAGACAGAAAGAAAGGAAGAAAGAGAAAAAAGACATACCCAAGTCCCAGGGAAGAATGAGGTCATACAGTATGCTATTAATCTTGACGTGCACCGCCACTGTTGTTCTCACTTGATTTTTTCCTTCCCAGCAGCCCCCGTGAGAGTCAGATTGTGTGCTGCTCAACTTGTACTGGGGTCGAGACAAAGATCGTACATTACAAGATAGTTCACTCAGCCAAAAAAGTGTCCACGGAAGTCCGCGCATTGCTTCAGATGGCGCTGCGGCTGCAGTCTTCGTTTTGAAGCTCTCTTTCGTTTCTTGAGAAGAAGAATAGAAAATAGAACAGTTTGTTAGTTTCGCTTGTTTTTCACACAAATAGAGTAACTCTGTTTGCAAAGTCTGCAAATTTTCGAAGAGGGCGCCTCCAAATTTTGAGGACACTTCTTCAATTGGCACAAAGAGAGGAGTGAACTATCTTGTTATACACGATCTTTGATGGGGTCGAGAACTCCACACGATTATACATATACATCGAAATCGAAAAGATCCACATGGGTGTTTAGAAAATATCATGTCCTTTGTGGACATCAGCTGTTAACTCGCCTGAAAACTGTTCTTTTTCACAATGACGTCCTTGTAGAAATACTCCTCATTTCAAGTTTCGATTTTGATAAATTATGCTTTCGTGTGACCCCCCACCCCCACACCTTTTTCACACACTCACTTACCCACATATGCACATGAACACCATGGCTTTGAAACTCATCCGCTTGAACGATGTGAACCCCCCGTTTATCTCGATGTTGTCAGATTCCAGAAAGAGTGCAGCACTCTGCTTTCCTCGCACCACATTATTATTATACCCACGAAACCGTATTGATGTTTTGATTGTCTTTGTTTTATTTGAAGTTCTGCTGTTTGTTATGTATTATAATGATACATGTATGTATTATTAAGCTCTCATTGTTGCTTGTAGGCCTATGTCGTTCCCAGCGATGTACGGGTTTTACTTTTTCGATTTAATGCCACATGGTGATTGATTGACGTATTGATTCTGAGATTTTATTCAGGAGTTAAGTCGCAGCCACCAGTGCCTCGTAGTTGTTGTAGTGATGTTGATATGTTTATTCTGGATTTTAATTACCGCCAATGCTACTTAGAGGTCGCAAAAGTATGATGTGATGACTCGATTTTGTACAACCGACTGACCAAAGTTCGAAGTACAATCAGAGTATTGGTTCAATAAAATGGAGTCATCATAACAATTGTCATAACCCCATATTGTCTCATACATTATCATTTAGGCCCTATAATTGAATCCGTATCTTGTAGCTTTAAAATAACGAATTTATCATCTGATTCATCTTTGTTTATTTCGCACTTTTGCTGTAAATTGCGTTTGAATAATGTATTATTATATTGTGTATTGTATTATCGTGCTGTGTAGTGATTGGAGTAGATTCCAGTTCTCTTCAACTCTTGTGTAATTCTATTTAGCTTATTGTCTAGCCTATTATCCTATCCTATTGTCTTGGTCTATTCTCTAAGTCTATTGTTTGAGCCTATAATGTTGTTTTAGTCTATTGTCCCAGTGGGTAAAGGGAAGGGTGGCTCGTGGTCGGTTGGCGGGTGCTCTAGTGTGATTTGTTCCTTCTTTCCTATCAAACATATTATATCGTCTATATTTCCCCTTTTTCTTTTTCATGTTTGTCACTCTCTTGTAACACCTCTAATCTTCTGGTGCTCATATGACCTTATGCAGTTGCGAGCGCTGAAAAAAACTCTACTTTAACAAAAAAGGGTTGCTCTTGTTGCAGGGGCAAGGTTAGTGGTCACAATGAATCACATATTATTAATATCATTTTTGTTAGGTGGGATTGTTTAGAATAATAGTCTTGTGTGGTTGGATTTTGATCAGGCGAAACGCCCGTTTTGATTTTAATTAAAACTTTGGCGTTTTTAGGATTACTTGGGAACTTGGGACGCTAGATTTTTTTTACCCAAATGTGGTTTTTTAGTGTATCATTTTGCTATATTTGTTTTTGTTTTAACTTTTGGTTGTAGGCTATACGGACGCTATACGTTTTGAAAGAGTTTGTTTTTCAATCTTTGGCTCGAGTCGACATTCAGTAATCCGCCTCTGACACCAAGTTTGTTAATAGTGTAATTATAATTAAATAAAATATAGGCCTACCTATATTTCAGTTTGATTATTCTAGCGTGTACAAAATGTACAAAATGGTACTACGAAGAAGGGGGAAAAGGGAAACAATGATGTAATAACATAACATTGTCTCTATTGTCTGTATCTGGAGTAACATTGCTTCAAACAAGGGCGTAACTGTATACCGATGGGAAATACAAGAAACGTTTGGGTGTGTACCCACGGAGATGAGACATTTTTTGTGGTTTGTTTGTGTTCCCTGCCTGTTTGAACACAACAGCCAGATGTGTCAGAGAGCGCATCAGAATCTCAAATATTTCTTCTTTGTCCTGTTGTAGCTCGTAGAAAAATCTCTGCGTGTTGTTTTTGAACGCCTGTTGCTCTTCAAAGTTGGGTGGATGTTGTGTAGAATGTTTTATGGGGGG